AGTCTCCAATAAGGCCAGTTTTTGAGAAGCAGCTAAAGTCTTAATAGGATTTGCTCTCTGCTTTGAATAAGCAATCAAAAAACAATCCTTTAAATTAACAGGCTTTGAATAAACAGTCCCAGTTATATTTACTCCCTATATCCATAGGGCCAGAGGATGTGGCCTCTGAGGAAACAGTTTTTGAATGTACAATTTGAGAACTTACAGACACAGAGATGCTAGTTTACAGATACTGAAGAGCTATTTTCAGGGTTGACAAACTCTAGCGAGCTAGGTCAGCTGCTATACAAACAGTCCTTGAGTTTGTTTCTGCTGAGCAATGTTTATGCTTAAATCTTCAGAGCAGGGGTTACCAGTCTGTGTATACATAGCTCCACGAACAGAAAGGGAGGGTGAAGAGCGGCGCTACAGCGCAACAAAACAGGTGAAGCAACTCAACCACCTGAATAGGGGACTCAGACCCCAGACTCTGCTTCCTCTACAGATGTCAGCAACTTCCCACTAACACCCAAGTTTTTGCATCAGCCACTGCCCAAGCCACACGCCACTGATGCAGCCGGGAACCTGTCAGCTGCCCCTGGAGGTCAATAGCTAGTAGCAACAGCCACAACAAGAGAGGTATAGAGCATGGTCCAGTCTGTACTCAGCCTATCAAAAGTCCTGCCAGAGATGGAACTCAAGGATCTTTTGAATTCAGGCCAGATAACACATAGGCTGGACTATTGTCAGAAAATAACATGACAAAAATGATAAAGTGAAACTCTATTTTCAATAGATTAAATAGATTAAATAGATCAGCCCCCAGTGATGAATTATCTTTAGAGCATGTTTGTGAAATGTTCATCTGAAGAAAATTCAAAAATGAGTCAGTGGGCTCAAAGATGATTGGTTTTGCTTCTGGGTTTATTTCTATGTTATTTTTTCTCTCTTTTTTCTCTTCAATGGCCAACAGACTTTAGCTCAGGATGTCACTCATACAGGGAGTGCAGAATTATTAGGCAAATGAGTATTTTGTCCACATCATCCTCTTCATGCATGTGTTCTTACTCCAAGCTGTATAGGCTCGAAAGCCAACTACCAATTAAGCATATTAGGTGATGTGCATCTCTGTAGTGAGAAGGGGTGTGGTCTAATGACATCAACACCCTATATCAGGTGTGCATAATTATTAGGCAACGTCATTTCCTTTGGCAAAATGGGTCAAAAGGAGGACTTGACAGGCTCAGAAAAGTCAAAAATAGTGAGATATCTTGCAGAGGGATGCAGCAGTCTCAAAATTGCAAAACTTCTGAAGCGTGATCATCGAACAATCAAGCGTTTCATTCAAAATAGTCAACAGGGTCGCAAGAAGCGTGTGGAAAAACCAAGGTGCAAAATAACTGCCCATGAACTGAGAAAAGTCAAGCGTGCAGCTGCCAAGATGCCACTTGCCACCAGTTTGACCATATTTCAGAGCTGCAACATCACTGGAGTGCCCAAAAGCACAAGGTGTGCAATACTCAGAAACATGGCCAAGGTAAGAAAGGCTGAAAGACCACCACCACTGAACAAGACACACAAGCTGAAACGTCAAGACTGGGCCAAGAAATATCTCAAGACTGGTTTTTCTAAGGTTTTATGGACTGATGAAATGAGAGTGAGTCTTGATGGGCCAGATGGATGGGCCCGTGGCTGGATTGGTAAAGGGCAGAGAGCTCCAGTCCCACTCAGACGCCAGCAAGGTGGAGGTGGAGTACTGGTTTGGGCTGGTATCATCAAAGATGAGCTTGTGGGGCCTTTTCGGGTTGAGGATGGAGTCAAGCTCAACTCCCAGTCCTACTGCCAGTTTCTAGAAGACACCTTCTTCAAGCAGTGGTACAGGAAGAAGTCTGCATCCTTCAAGAAAAAGAGGATTTTCATGCAGGACAATGCTCCATCACACGCGTCCAAGTACTCCACAGCGTGGCTGGCAAGAAAGGGTATAAAAGAAGAAAAACTAATGACATGGCCTCCGTGTTCACCTGATCTGAACCCCATTGAGAACCTGTGGTCCATCATCAAATGTGAGATTTACAAGGAGGGAAAACAGTACACCTCTCTGAACAGTGTCTGGGAGGCTGTAGTTGCTGCTGCATGCAATGCTGATGGTGAACAGATCAAAACACTGACAGAATCCATGGATGGCAGGCTTTTGAGTGCCCTTGCAAAGAAAGGTGGCTATATTGGTTGCTGATTTGTTTTTGTTTTGTTTTTGAATGTCAGAAATCTATATGAGGAAGTTTTTCAAATATAAAACCTTGTAAAATCTTAAAACACAGATATAATTTGGATTTGTCACATTAGAAGATTTTCTGTCAACAGTCAATGCCGCGGGGGATTTTGTTGTTGTTGTTGTTGTTGTTGTTGCAATACCAAAATTCACCACTGGTACCTGTAATATTACCGTATGGCATGTGGTAACTATTACTGATCTAAAAGCATATAAATGACTTAAGTTGTAATTTGGAGCAAGTCTAATCTTTAACAAGAAGCTGATATAGCAGGATGGGTGAGTTTTAGCACCAGGCGTGTGTGTCTGTGTGTGCAAGTTTTCTTGCGTGTGATGAGTCAATGGGGAGAAAAAAAAAGAAAAATCAGCCACGTCCTCCTGAGTGACGGGTCCCAAGGAACCATAGTCTGGTGCTGCCATCTACTGACCCTAAAGTGCACCAACAAGCCCTCCAACACTGAGTCTGCACAAGTGAAAGGTCACTAACTCGCATAATGAATGTGCAAGACCCGTTTTTTATATTTTGAGATGAAAGGAAGGCAAAAGTGACTCGAACAACCACTCGTTACAACAAAAGGATACTTGCTGTTCTCTGAATGCACCGCATGTGAAGGAGATTCTGTAGCAGCAGAAAACCACACCAGCTGAAACTCCTGTCAGCTAACAACAGGAAACCGAGGCTGCAATTCACACATTCACTAACCAAATGTAAATAAAAGATTCTAAAAACACTGCCTGGTCTGGTTAGTTTCAATATATTCTGAAAGATTTAGGTAGGGTCAGAATTTGATGTAAACAAGGTAAAGCACAGACCCATCCTGTTTCGTATCAATGATTCTGCTGCTGGTGCGGTGACAGCCTGCGCAAGTGTCTTTGTGGGCAACAGTCTCCAAGAACCCCGCTGTGCTCAACAGCTAAAACTGCATATCTGGGAAGACTGGGAAATTTTCACCACTGCATCCCTATTCTCCCAGCTCTTCATTGTTAAAGTGTTGCTAAAAGAGAAGCTGCCAAACAACACAACACATTTTCAAACACTAAAAGCGGTTAAATTATTGAAAGTGCAGCTTTGTACTCTTTTCTGTCAAATAACTTTTAAACTACAATTTGAATTGAATGATTTTTTGTTTTAATTTATATTTGACACACATCTTACACATATAGAAAAAAGACAAGTTGGTGAAGAGGGTGGGGTTTACCTTGTCTCTATAACAAAAAGGAACAAAAGGTCACGTCAGTTAAGAGGACGATGAAGGAAGCGTCTGTACTATGTCTGCTCTGTGAGTAAAGCATGAATTTTTTGGTTTTTCTTTGTTTTAAATGTTGAACTTTTACTTTCTGTTCTGTTAATCAAAAGTGATGAAGGAAAAAGCATGAAAAAGAAGAATAAAAGCACCAAGTTATGGTAGTGCTCTTTATGCCACCAGTACAGTGAGAAAAAAAACCCTAATAGTGCAAAAAGACTGATAGACAGTTTTGTGTGACATTTACAGGGGAAATGATACTGCAAAGATTTCTTACTATATATTCATTATTATCGACTTCTAAATCTACCTATGAATTTACATGAAAGACGAAGAAGAGTTTTTGCACAACGTTCCTTAAATTGTTCTCACACCCCCTCCTCGACCTCTGCTTCGAGGATTCTGACATTTAGTGTGACTCAGAAGTGTTGATTCATTTAAACTAACATAATCATCCTGCTTTAATCATCCCACTCCATACGTGACATCTCTTGTAGCAAAACCAGCATTTTCCCAGAGTTTCATAGTTATCTATAACATAATAATTATCTACAGTCATTTATTCTATACTAACCTAATTGTAATTTCTCCTTAGTTCTGACATCGGTGTTTTACTGGACAACAAACCAAGGTCAGTAAACGTCTTTTTATAAATATAAAGTGCTAAAATGGTGATCAGAATCAGAAATATCTGGTGTGTAGATGCTTGTGGGCTGCTATAGCACATTTAAATCTTATTTTCATTCTATAGGCTGATTTCATCTAAACAATAATTTACATTACTTTTGAAATTAATGAAAAGCTTATTTTTAACCCTCACAGCTCGCCTGACTGTGAGTCCCAACAGCACTCAGTTCTTTGACGGAGACTCTGTGTCTCTGAGCTGTGAGGAGGACGACAGCTCTGCTGGATGGACTCTGAGGAGAAACACAAGCACAGAAACCAGGACTCAGTGTGGAGATGAGTTTGGAATATTAGACAGTTCTTCCTGCATCATCAGCCACATCGTTCTACTGGACAGTGGAGTTTACTGGTGTGAGTCCAGAGAGGGTCCCATCAGTAACATGGTTAACCTGACAGTCACTGGTAAGCTGAGTGTGTGGAGTTAGTGTTGATGAAGCTGTGTGTAAATGGATGAAATGCTGTAGTTTGTCTCTGTGTTGAGGTGGATCAGTGATCCTGCAGAGTCCTGTCCTCCCTGTGATGGAGGGAGATGACGTCACTCTGCTCTGTAAAACAAAGACCACTCCCTCCAACCTCACAGCCATTTTCTTCAAAGATGGCGTCTTCACTGGGAAAGACTCTACAGGTCACATGACCATCCAGCATGTTTCCAGGTCTGATGAAGGCCTCTACAAGTGTGACATCAGCGGTCATGGAGAGTCTCCATCCAGCTGGATCACTGTCACAGGTGACACACTCACCTGTCTGTGTTTCTGCAGGTTTCAACATTCACAATGTGACGACAACTTAATGACTGTGTTTGCTTTGTTTTAGACAAACACACCACCACACCTCCACCTACATCCACACCTCCACCTACATCTACACCTCCATCTACAGCCACACCTCCACCTAAAACCACCTCGACCACCTCGACCTTTCCTGCCGCTTCCTCTCCTCTTCTCCCGGTGTTGCTGACTGCTGGAACACTCTGTGTCATAGCTCTAGTGGTCTTACTGATTGTTTTGGTGGAACGATATGTTGACAGGAAGCTTCAAGGTGAGACTCCGACTTTCAGGCTTTTCAAAAATTCATGATTCAAAAATGTTTTATTGTCAGTTCTCTGCTTGGACACACAGGATAACTCAAATACTGTTTCTTACTCACCTCAGTGTAAAAAAAAGACTTAAGAAAAGTTAAAGGAATATATAAAATTCAATCAGTGCACTATAATGGCAAGAGTGTAAGATATAAACGCAATATATAAAATAAAGCAGCAAGATATAAATCATACAAATTAAATAAAATAAAATAACATAAATTGAATGAATAATTACAGCAAATATGTAAACTTTATAACATCTTTATGTGCTTTATACATAGAACAAACTGATTGATTAGTTCGTGGATTTGTTGATTCATTCATTCATTCGACGCTTTCATGGGTCAATCTGTGGAAGCTACAAATAATACTTACAAATTCAGCAGGAAAATCATAATTACTTTCCCCACAATAAATAATCTGAATGATTAATGTAATGGCAGTAGTGTCTCTATGACATGTGCACTGATGTCCTCTCTGTGTGTTTCATTGTGCAGAGAGCACCTTAGCTGCCGTCTACTCAGCAGTGAGGACAGAAGACATCTGTTATGTAGAAATCAAGATTAAAGAGAAACCCATATAAACAAAGACCAGGTACAGCTGCTCCTCTTTGTCTTAACGCTCAGAACAATTCCAGCTATTCCTGGCATTCCAGTTTAAACCAGTGGTGTCAAACATAAGCCTCAGAGGCCAGAATATGTAAAGACTCTAATCTGACTCATTGGATGACTTTGAAACATTTGAAGGAGAGCAGAAATGTTGGACAACTGTGTTGGCATAAGCATTTCAGATTTTCCTTCTCACAAAGACCTCCCATGTCAATTTACACTAATTAATTAAACTATTGATTTCACACTTCCTTTTATATAATACAGCTAAGGGATAAAATCAATTTTAAATCAATAGAAAACAAGTGCTTGTATGAATGGATGAATGATGTATTTTGTATAAAGTGCTCTGAGTACTCAAGTGTATAAGAACCAGTTTAATTACCATTCACCAAAGAGACTAAGTGAGCTGTCTGCGGCTCTCTGGTCAAGTCAGACTTTGAGACTTTCTCATAAAAGCTGTAAAGTTTAAGTCAAAGAACAATGTTAAGTACAGGAAGTGATGTAGACTCAGAGTAAAGCTGGAAGGAAATGCAGAAGAAAATTAAGCACCTCAGATTGTCATGAGGCCAACATTTACACTCTCTTACGCACTCCTTTGATTTTCACGCTCTTCTTTTGGATTTTCCTGGTTCTATTCTAACAGCACGGCTCTGCATCACATCACACTTGTCAACATCACACTTGTTTGGCTCTGCACATGTGCAGAAAAGAAAAAAAACAATAGAATAGAAAAATCCAAGATGATCTAAAGGTAAAAGTGAGATAGGATGTGCAAGGTGTGAAAATGACGTTTTCTCACTGTAAAACCACAGCAGCAGCATCCGCCTGTTTTTCTATTTTTTTGTCCTGTGTGGGAAGATTGGTTCATACTTCTCAGACAGTTTATTTTGATGAGCTTATTTTGTATCTTCCAGTTAAAAAAATGTTAAAAAAGAAAAATGTAAGTCACGTGATCCAAGCACGGTGAGCTCATCGGTTTAAATTAACACTGACATCATTAGCAGATCCGTCCCTTAGTAGGTTTAAAAATGATTTAAATACAAACTCAGACAAACAAATGCACGACATGTTACAATGTTCATGTTTCAATTGTTTTCTGGGATGGATGTTGTTCTATAAAAACATATAGAAAGACACGTAGCAAACAAAGGAGACCTAGATACAGAATATTGACCTTTTGTCAGAGTAAAAACCCACAGCAACAGTCTCCACCTGTTATATGTTGTTCCTGTAAACTGCGTGAGACCTTCGGTATCTTGTGGTTGAAATGTATCAAAGAGCAGGGGGTGCACCTGCAGATGCTGTGTGATCTGAAGTTTCACATATACTGTTTATAGTATTCATAATTCAGTGTGTTAGGGTGATTAATACTTAAAATGCAGGTTTGCGCCTGAGAGACTTTAGACATTGAAACCTTTCGTTAAGATACATCTTAACTGTAACTGCTTTGACGTGTTCCTCACTCTCTGTATATGAATATAACAGACAGGCCAGGTTTGTGCACAGGTGCTTATTGTTTCTCATGATGTTTTAAACTGTGTGTTCAGATTGTGAAGCCAGAGCTCTGTACTGAAGATTCCCACCAGTCCAGCCGATGACTTCCAGCTACTGGTCCAACCGACCCATAAGACCCCAGGACATAGATGTGTAATACTCATATATTTCCGTGTGTTTTTCTCATCACCTTACACAGCCAGCACGCTTGCCTTATCAAGAGTATGTATAGTATGTAATGCATTAATGCAGTAATGGAATGCACTGTATATGATCCCCTATTGATCTTTCTATTGATCCATTTAATTTCTAAGTGGGAGACCGTGTTGTCTGCTCCACAGCAGTGATCTAGTTTTTCTGCAGAATCAATAAACTTTGGTCTCACTTTTGTTCTCGTGTGGTTCTGTGGGTTTCAGAAAGATGTCTGATGCTAACTGATACACGCCACAGCTGCACACTATAAACAGCAGGAGCATTATTCAGTGGCTGGAAACTTCAGAGAAAAAAAAAGTCAGAACAAAGTGCGTACGTGTTCGTGATAGGAAATGAAGTCTGTTGGGCTATGGATGGCTGCACTGGGAGATGACGTTTAACTTAAGAAGCTGTACACCACATCTTAGCTGGCGTGCAGTTTGCTGTCTGTGGTTCAAAGTCTGTTACACTCTCCAAGGTCCCAAAAAAAGAAATCGGTTACATCTGATGTTTCAAACAAATGGAGCTGAGTGTCTTTTTCAAATGATCAGCTAGTTACAAGTCTAATAGATACATAATGAGCAGATTCCAACTCATTTTTTAATGTCTTACCTTCACAGCAGCACATCAACAGCTCAGTGCTCCTGCAGCTGTCGTGCACAGATGTTACAAGTTAGTGTAGTTTCTTCAAGTTCCTTCTTATTGTCAGCTCTCATTAAAATAACAACTGCTCTCTTGCACTAGTCATGCATTTGTGAAATAATAAAGTAAACACCTGTTAAAGTGTTTCTGTCATAGCAGTGTGAGTGGCGGGCAGATGTGACAGCAGTGTGCAGAACGCACATGCAGGGTTTTCTTTGTTGCAATAAGAAAAGCAGTATTTGTAATATCACCATTTAGCATTTAGGTAACAGATGTGAAGTCGTGGTTTTAAAGAAGAGTTTAATGAGCTGATTTAGCAGCGAAGGTGATTCTTGGATGTGGCACCAGCTCTGGCCGCTCTGACCACCATCTCAACAATAAACCAACAACTAGTGCTGCCATCTACTGACACTAAAGTGCACCAACTAGCTGTACAACTCTGTGTCTGCACCAGTGAAAGGTGACTAACCTAACAATGTAAAGGTGCAGGAGCTGTTTTGCATCTGATATGAAAGAAACTCTACAGCAACCAATAGGAGAGCCTCAAAATGTCTTCTGTAAATACTCAGTCACACTAACCAGGGCCAACCTGCATAGTTGCTAACATCAGATGTTATATGGCACCTCCAGTGCGGAGCATAAAAAGCAGAAACACAATTGTGATACCAACAGGAGTTCAAGAGCTTGTGTATATAGTGTAGGAGGGTTGAAATGGTAGGAAGACTGAAAGGCTGACACACCAAAAATAACGTCAGTCAACGGCGCTGGCACGGCTGGCAGCCTTAACCCAATTTCCCTCGGGATGAATATAGTATAATCAGTCAATCAATCCAAAATGTTTTATACTTGATGTTCAAAATCAAAAACTCATTATATCATATTTTGAGATGAAGAAATCTTTATTATTCTTATTTTTCATCATGATGAAGTTCTGTTACAAGTTCTTAACATGCCCAAACAAGAAAATGTTCTGATCACCAAATTCAGGATGTGTTGACTCACACTTCAGCTTTTTAAAGCTCTGAGACTAAGAACTTTGACTCTGCCGTTGTCTATATTTTCTGTAGCTCACACAGCCAACAATTGCACCAACAACAAGCAAAATAAAAACTGTCAAACTAGCTGGATGGATAACAACTCTAATTTTGAACCCTCCATCCTTTTTGTGAATGTCCGGCTGACCTGCAGGTGAGAAACAGGTGTGAGGTGTCAGCTGTCAGGTAGGTGATGAGTGAAGAACAGAACAGAATCCATTTCCTCTTCAAACTGCTGTCAGACATTATCTACTGCACTCTGATCACATCACTCAGACCAGCTGCTTTCTACAAAGTCTCATCAACAACATCTTTAGAAACAAACATCAACAACCAGGAAGCAGCTTCACCTCTGATCACACACACACTCAACTCTACTCACTCACCTGGAGGAACAACTCTCAGGTTTACACTGCAGATGGGGTTACCCTTGAAAAAGGCTCTCTTTTCATGGTTTGTTCCCGTCAACAGGACACGACACTCATATGTTCCATTATCAGCAGTTGTCACATCCGTCAGAACCAAAGACACGTCTCCATCCTCCATCTGTCTGTCCTTCAGATCCACCCGGTTCACAAAGGATGGATGCTGGTTGTCTGTAACAAACTGCTCATCCTGATACAAAAGGACATATTCTGGCTCCAAGTCACTTCTGCTCCACTGTACAGCGGTGATGTTGTTGTTGTCATAGACAGAAGCAAAACATGACAGATTGACATTGATTCCAGATTCAACTGTTGTGCTTAATGAGACTGAAAGAGAGCAAACACAGACCACATAAGTTAAATCAGGTCAAAGTGCAACTCTCACTCCAACTTCCACAGAGGCCGGTGTGGGGACGTCCCACCACATGTACTTTTAGCAATATTTTGCAATACTTGGGGACTTCATAATGAATGCCATGTTGCTGTTAATGACCACCCGCCTGACCTTATCAAGGGGATTAAACAAGTTAGGCCACGAGACCATGGAAGTTATCTCTGACCAAAATGTGTATAAATTAGAGGCCACGCTTTCAGAAGCTCTTCGAAGGTTTCAAGCTTTCAAGCTTTCAATATGTTATATAACTTTCCAAAAAGGGAAGTCTCTGGAGTCTCCCTCTGTATATCTGTATGTCTCAGAGCTTCTGTAATGGAAGCTAATTACACTGGCAGTAAAAATCAACACGATCACTCATGCATGGTGCAACGCACCAGATTGCAAAAATGCTTGACTGGCCGACATGAAAATAAGCACAAGAACCCACAGGTCATCTCCTGACCAAGAGAGTCAATGCCCATCATGTTAAAATGTCTAGCTTTACAGCTGAAATAAACTGGTGTGCAGCTGACTACAATTTTTTATTAGTTTCTATATATATGTCTCAATAAAAACAAACTTCGATAATGCAGTAAGAGGCATGTGTGGCAGGTGAGACCTGAGTCTGGGAACCGCCCCTGGTGGGCGGAGCTGGTCTTTGCTTTTTTCATAAGCTCAGGTGTGGGCAATTAGGTATTCCTCAGCAAACCTGAAGCTGCCAGTGCTTGGTCCAAGTTGGTGTTTTTAATTTCTTTCCATGAAAGCTTGATGCGGGTCCCCCTAATCTTCTGTTAGAACGGTAGGTTACACAACAATGTACCACTGGAGCTCTGGTTGTTGTGGCCGAGGTTTAGCCTACAGTTATTTGCACACTTGTAGGTAGGAAACATTGCGTTCCCGTGAGAACAGTGTAGTGGACTTCACCGCCACTGACCCATGTTTATTAGGGTGTTTAGAGCATTTATGGATTATTGATGGTATGACCTGCGGTCTGGTTCAGACCATCCAAGAAAGTGTGCTTTAGTTTTGTCCAGTGAAATTGTTTTTGTTTTTTTTTGTTTTTCTTAATTCAATCTCTTACTTGATTTAATTAGATATGAGTGTCTCGGGATTACAACCATATGACCTATAAATGCAGAGTGCTAACCAAGCCAAATGTAATTACCTGATAATTTAGCACTCCACCTTGTAGTTCAAATATGATCACTTACGACGAAACGTTAGTGTTTAGGCTGCCAAAAGTGTCTTTCTTATTATTTCAGAACATGTCATAGCCCACACAGAGACCCCCTGAGCCAGATGGCTACAGCAGAGATCCTTTTCACAAGTCCAAATGCTACATTTATATCTATGTCCTAGTATGACTTAAGCAAATGCCGCTGATGCAGACACACAAATCGCGAACCGATATGCAACTCACATGTAGACACAGGCACGAGAAGGCAGGCAGACATCCAAATCCAGTAGTGTAACACAGATGTTACAGTGGGCATTTTCCACCTTCTGTAGATCTTCTGATCTCACACAGAATTAAGAAGAAACAAACAAAAAATCAGAACCTGCTTCTAATATCTTATCCTAAGCAAGTCAGATTAAGCAAAGCTGGAAAGTCACTGACTGAGGGAACATGACGGTTTACTACATCTACACTCTTCCCATTGAGAAACTGGAGGTTGAGTAAGGGTGTGAGTTGGTGTGAGGGGAAATCAAAGTAAACTGCTTCTGAGTGTCAAAACTTAATGACACAACAATGAAATATGTGCATTGAATAGGCCATTTTGGGGCATTCATCTATGTGTGCAGCATTTTTGCTGCAGCTTCCACAAAGGAAGAGCTAGTCTGGGTAATTTTGTCTGCTCTGATGTCAATAAGTTCAACTAAATTCATGTTTTTGATGTGTTTTCTTCTTTCTTTTAATTTACATCAAAGCCCAGTAACGCTATTTTGACTTTCCTGTTAGGCTCCAATCATCCAAGCCAAGAGACTGGTCTGCAACTATCTGACAACTGCCCGTGGTGAGGTAAAAACCCGTCGTCCAGGTTGTGCTGTAGGTTTAAAATAATAGTGTAATAGCAGTGAAGCATGAAATTGGCAAACCACTACCTGCATCCTATTTGACCTGGTGCTGAAAACGAGCCAAATAAACCAAATAAAAAGCAAATCACTGTCTCAATAAGGACACTTCCTTTGATACACAATGTACTCTGCATACTTCCATGTACCCGTAAATTTTAACAGGGTAGTGTTGCCTCAACGCTGGAAGTTGTGCAGTTGCTGGAACTGTCCGTTGCAACATTGAAATTTCACTGTCATGCAAAATATTGGATTTTCTGAACATTTGAAGCCACAATCTACAACTTAACCTCACATGCTCCGAATTTGAATGAATGTCAACAATGGTACTGCCACACAGCTATAAATGCTGGCAATGACATTGGCCACTCGCGTAATAGACTCTACATAGATTTGCAGAAAAATTACAAATTAAAGCAAGACTCAACCAGAGTCAGGAGTCTTTTCACACACAGTACTTGGAATTTAGGTCATTAAAGTGCTGGGTGCAGTCTGATTTAAAAAAAAAAAAACAAAAAAAAAACCTTACTTCGGATGCATGTAGATGAATAGAGATACTTCACAGACACAAGACTAAAGGTCATTTTACAGCAGGATATAAGCACTGGTTTTGATATAAACCAGGCTTAGGGAATTTCAGGCCACAAGAACCGGTTTCCTGCAACTGTGTCCTTGATCCAGCACAGCTGATTTAAATGGCTAAATTACCCCCTCAACATGTCTTGAAGTTCTCCAGAGGCCTGGTAATGAACTAATCATCGATTCAGGTGGGTTGGCCCAGGGTGAGATGTAAAACCTGCAGGACATCGGCTCTCGACGGAGTTCCCCACCCCTGATAGAAAGGGAATGTTGGCATGGTTCATGTACCAGGCTGCAGTATTTGTAGAGAAGGTAAAACAATCACAGATGGGGTTAAATGATGCAGAAGTTCACATGATAAATCCAGTTTAATGCTATTATTTAGAACTACTGAGTAAGCACTGAAAAGGTCCAGTGGACCAGCTGGTGTGGTTCTTCTAATCAATTAGTCTTGCAGGAAATAGGCCTGGAAGATTTTAGATATGGAAACATTTCTTTTGGATAAAAAAGATTATTTTGAATAAAAATTAAAGAACCCAGATTTAAACTGAGGATCTCTGCATAATGAGGATATCTATGACATCCGTCTTCATCTAATCTGAGTGAATTTGGAGATCTCCAGCATCTCATCCTTTTCACAGGGTTATTGAGGTTCATCAAATGACTGTGACTATCAGCCTCAAGGCAAGAAGATGAAGAGTAGGAATCACTACTGTCAGGAAGTGGAGGCTATAATTCACACAGGCTCACTAAAATGGGACACTAGAAGATTGGAAAAAATATTGTCTGGTTTTAATGAGTTTCCAGTTTTCTGCAAAATTTGGATAGGAGGTCATGGTTCCACCCTGACCTGCATCAGTTCGGGCTGGTGGTGTAGTGGTGTGACACATTTTCCATTTTTGCACACTCTGCCTGAGTCTTGTTGCTGAGCATATCCATCTTTTTATGACAACACACCATGTCACAAAGCTGAAATCATTCCAAACCAGTTGCCTCAATCCAACAGAGCACCTTTGGGATAGTCATGGAACGAGAGATTTAGTCACTTAGTAGTTTGATATCAACAGATTTAAAGAGGGTAAAGAAACTATCAAAAGTAGAATTGTTGATAAGACCAGAGGAAGAACTACATTAAAGCTACACATTTTCCTTCGTTCTTTTGTTGGTGGAAGAAACTTTGAAGACATTTCGAAAATGTAAACTAATTAGAGGCAGTCTATTGTGCCAGTGCTGATATACTCATATGAAGCTTGTTCATCCATCCATCAGTCTCTCTTTAAAGAGAGAAGCCCAGACCTCCCTCTCCTCTTCCAGCAGACATGGATGTGCAGCCAACAAATGTGTTGCAGTCGTGTGATGCTTTTATGTTAGTATGGACTAAATCCTCTGAGGAATGTTTCCACCAGCTTGTTAAAGCTATACTAGAATAAAGAAGGCAGTTTGTAAAGGAAAAGGGTTTCAGCTTATTACTATCAAATGTACCCAATAAAGTGGCCAGTGACTAGAAGCACTGTGTACAGGCATCAGTCACTGCTTAATAAAGGCCAGTAGGTGACAGCAGAGGTGGTTCTACTCAGCACATGCCTGCTTTCACTTGACCTTTGACCCTTAGTTACAGGTCTTTACTCTTAAAGCTTTAAAGCTCTAAATCAGCAGTTCTCAAACTTTCCACAGTGAGTCCCACATCATAAACTATAATGGCTTTTGAACTACCGACATTAAAGTGCAGCAGTATTAGCCTGTTTAACACCACATACAGGAGACATGAGACAAGATTTATTTCTTTTATTAATGAAAGCACAAGCTCATCCATCACCTGTTCAAAAACACGAGCTATTTTATAATAGCTATCAACAAAGGCAAGAAACTGTTTGAATTAAACTAGAGTTGTTCTCAAACCATGTCCATACTACCATGGAGATGACGACTTTAGACCGAGATTATTTAAGGTTGGTTTTTTGTTTTTTTTGCTTTGTTTTATAACTAAATTTTTAAAATAAATTTGCTTTGTCTTTTTTAATATCTGTTCCTCATGAGTTACCTGGTACTGACCTATGACCCCTCCAAATATCTTATTCGTGTTTTTTTTATGATTGATATGAACCGGGCCTGCACAACTTTGGATTGCAAAGTTTGGGTGAGAGGCCCTAACCCCCTAACCCTGAATATGATGTGGGTCTGGTTAAAGATTGCATGGGAACAAACTGGCTTTGTCAAATACATGACAGCAATCTCAAACATTTTTATTTTACAAGCTAAACATCACGATTGGGTCTGTGACGAAAGTGAGTGCAACAGTACAGATGTGGGAAGAAACTCACATTCCAGGGATAAATAGTTAGAATGAGGTGTTTAGTAAGCATCTGGCAGTAAACATTAGTGTGAACCGTGCTCTGTTCTTTCATCCTGCAGCTGCGCTGGCAGAAGAGAGTGAGGGGGGGAAAAAGCGCCCTCCTCCAACAAGAGCATACCAAGCTCCAGCTTAGTGACGTGCAGAGCGAGACTCTGAGCCGCCCACGAGGGATCTGGATGGAACGCAGACGGTGTCTGATAAACAGTCAGGGAGTGTTTTCTGGGAATTCCAGTGTGTTTTTGAGTTAAGGTGGTCATTGGTGTGACTTTCGAATTGTTTCACAAATTGCGAACATTCACATGATTCTCCAAACATCACACACACAGGAAAAGTGTGTACTGCTGAGTTTCAAACTTTCCTCTAGTCCTGATTTAAAGTGACCAGTGTAAATATAATGTGCAAATTTCATTTGACTAACAATGACTCGTGCACACTCTGCATGGCAGCAATACTGCTTCGTAGGGTGATGCCAGTTCCTGACACATAAGAAAGCTGTGCATTAGATCCTAACTGAAAATTAAACACTTCTTTTTCTGTTGCACACTGAGTCACAAACTGCACTCAGCAACAGCCAGAGCTGCAGAGTGCACCCACATAGCATTAAAAGTTACAGGGTGATGAGCTAAATTCAACCTGAAAGAAACAGACAAACAAAAATGCATCAGGACTTTATTCTGTGGATGACTGACATGAAGCCTGATTATATACCAGATTTTTTATAGCAGGGTAAAGATGTGTCACAATGAAATGAATGTTTGATGTTCAAAAAGGCACAAATACCTTCTTCTTCAGAAAGAAAGAAACCAAAACAGAAACAGCAGTGATGAAGATGATTTTCACATTTCTGCTTTTATTCTTTTATTGTGATTACGAGTTTTACATGCAAGCATTTTTTTTTACTAAATAACAAGCAATGAAAGAGACACGTCACAGCAGTTGCTCATAAGTCCTCATTAGATTCATATTTTCCTTAAATTAATAATCTTCAATCTTTTGTGGCTCGTGAGTCTATTCATACCTGTGTACAATACAGTACTTGTAGATGGCAGTAGATGGCAGAGCTCCTGGCACTGCCAAAACGCACATGGTACATATATAATTAATGGAATTTCCCCCCAACCCCTATTCCAAAAGTTCAGTGATTAAAGTTTATCCTGTTAAGCCCCAACGAGGCTGCCTGAGCTTGCTCTTTGAAAATGACAAACCCAAAAGGAATGTAAACAATCTCGGTATCAAAACAAAGCTGGTGAACACTGGTGAGATCAATTTTACATTACATTATTAAAATGTATAAAAGTTCTTATTGTTGATTCTAATCTTCTGATCTCTGAAATTCACATTTCTGCTGCTGAACACAAACCAAGAGTGATGGTTGAGTCGGTCAAGTTAATTAATTTCACTTTAATCTGTTAACAAGCTGAAGCGATTTCCACATTGTCTCCGTCAGGCTGTGTGACAGCAAAGCTTCAAGTGTATCAAGTTCAAGTTTCAGAGCAGCTATTAAAACAGAAGCACTGAGTTTTTGTTCGAGTTGGAGCTTCTGAACAACTGCAAGTTACTGCTAACTAATATCTGCACAGGCACAGGTTGTAAAACTAAGCTGAATATTTGAACACTGCAGCAAAGACATCCAGTGTAAAGAGCAGAATATTGTAATAATGCTGAGATTATTCAAAGTGATTCATAGTCAGAATTATATTGTGTGATCTGGATGAAGCAATAACTGGATAATAAATGATAAAACAGCAAAATTCGATGTTTTCTTTGCTCTCACACACTAGGTCAACAGCTAAACAAAAACCTATAACTGTCGGTGACATTTCACAAATCAGTTTCATTGTGAAGTTCCAGCTGTGTCTGTTCACTGACAACACTGGGAAGTGGGAACAGCAGCAGGAGACTGTTTAATGACAAGAGGTCTGAGACGAACTTCTTTTGCCTTTTTATGGTTTCTGTAGATCACAAATCCAGCAACAGCAGCAACAACGGGGGCAGCAGCAGCAACTACCACACCAACGATTAGTCCAACAGATCCTGCAGGTGAGAAACAGGTGTGAGGTGTCAGCTGTGAAGAACAGAACAGAATCCATTTCCTCTTCAAACTGCTGTCAGACATTATCTACTGCACTCTGATCACATCACTCAGACCAGCTGCGTTCTACAAAGTCTCATCAACAACATCTTTAGAAACAAACATCAACAACCAGGAAGCAGCTTCACCTCTGATCACACACACACTCAACTCTGCTCACTCACCTGGAGGAACAACACTCAGGGTGATGATGCTGATGAGCTTCAAACCAATTGTTCCTTTCTCAACGACACGACACTCGTATGTTCCAGTGTCATTAATCGTCACATTGTTCAGAATCAGAGACACGTCTCCATCCTTCATCTGTTTGTCCTTTAGATCCACCCGGTCCTTAAAACATGGATGCTGGTGCACTGAAGTTTTCCTCTCATCCCGATACAAAAAAACATATTCATCTCCCAGGTCAGCTCTTCTCCACTCCACAGTCTGGATGTTTTTTCGAGCTTGACATGTCAAAGTGACGTTCCTTCCAGACTCAGCTGTGACGTTTTTCTGGCCTGAAAGAGAAACTATACAGAGCAGAGAGGTAAAGGTTTCAAACAGCTGTTTACTTCAACAGAAAGCATCAGGATCACTGGACATGGACTGTACAGTTAAGACTTGGGTAGCAGCATTTGGGACAATATAATGTGTTTCAATGACAATCCAGGGAATTTTCCTTTAAATTTAACTGTTAAAAAGTGTTTTTTCTGGAAAAAAGGAAAAACAAGATTATTAGTAAATCGAGCAAAACATTCAGAATTTGATTGATTATTTAAAAAAAAAAGAAAATCCACTGACCAGTTCGACAGAAGGCCTGACAAATCAAAGACGACATGTAAAATGCCTGATTATTTGAGAATTATTTCTATGATCAGAACAACTAAAGAGGTTCGCAACCAAGAAACACCCTCGAGGATTTAAAACAGAGTTTAATTTGACTGTATTACCATTATAAATCTTTTGGTTTTAGACTTAATAATAATACTCCTCCTTCCTCGTGAGCGTTTTTGACTTTGTTAGACTTTGTGAAGTCGTTTGTCTCAACCATGGAAAAAGTCTGCAGCTGTGCACTTTAGTTATCTTCTTTCGGGGTTTTTGGTGCAGCTGAGCTGATTGTGATTTTCAACACTTTGAATCAATGTCTGCTTTGACTATAAGGGACTGTGTATAAAAATGTCAGTAACTCCGAAAGTCCTAAATTCCTTATTTAGTTAACTTTGATTTACTCCAGGTTTGTGTGGTTAAATTCTAATTGTACACAAACTCCACCTAAAACTTTTATTACTGATTACAGCCTATAACTTCACGCAGACTGATTAAAGTTGGTACACAGACCACAGCTTACCTTGAGAGGTACAACCCAGGAGGCACGCAGAAAGCAGAATCCAGATGAGTCCAGCCATTCTCTTCCTCCAGGACTTTCCAGATGTTTAGACCGTTGTCAGGGCTCAGAGGTCCGTGGCGTGGAATGGACTCGGGCGCAGAACCAAAGACCAGAAGCTCCAAGTGATTTGCAAAAACAAAAACTGCTGAGACTGGAGTGGGGCTGGTGAGGGCACTGAAACATAGGAGAGGAAAATCAGAACAGTCCAAGGAGTTGTGAGTGTTTTCCCATTTGACAAGCTGGGATGGCTTACGTGTTTGCAGGCGGGGATTAGCTGGAGGTGGAGGCGAGGTGAGGTCCAGGCGAGTGCTGAGTCCAATATAGGTGTGCAGGGAGGCAGGCAGGTGAGAATGGCAGTTTGTCTGAAAAGGATTAAGCAGCAGCTGAATCCAGAAGCAAGGCTATGGAAGGGTTTGGAATGACGAGTCCAGGTACCGACTAGGAGACTAAGTAATGCACACTGATAAATACACAGGAACATGAGGCTGTGAAATAACTGAGGTTAGCAGACGATCTGGCAAAGACTCATTGTGTGCACTGCCAGAATAATTGCCTGCAGCTGAGGAGCTGATGCCGTGGAAAGACAATGACAAACGTTGACTCTGAGAAGAGCTCCTTTGTTTTAATGTTTCCTTAGGAGGAGTTACTGGGAAGGATGGAGTGGGCGTGGGTAAAATATTTAAAAACAGATGTTAGCAACTCCATTTATTTCTTGTAATAACAAGTTTTTTTTATACTGATTTATGCCTCTACAGTCCTTTTGCTTTTCTTTTTTTAAGGATTGTTACTTAGGTTACTGTTACGTACTTTTTTTAAGGACTGTTAGGGCTTACATCTAGTAAATAAAGTGTTGTTTCCTGAATAATCTGATCTGGAATCAGTCCACAGTGAACAAACACACTGAGCAAAAGTGTAATCTGAACTAAAGTCAAATTTTTAAACTGAACCAAGAATCAAACTGCAGGAAAACCTGATGGAAAACCTGCTCACTGACCTTCTCTCACTTTAATCAGCACAGGGTGCGATGTAGACAGCAGTGATGATTTTTTATTTTTAGCCTGGCTCTCAGTCAGCTCAGAATAAATAGATTCAAATGTTGGATTATTAGCCTTCATTGTTGGTGTTTCTGCTCACAGGTACAAACTACCATCAGTCTGCACCATTAAACAGACACATAATGAACTTGCATATATATAAAGTTCTTTTCTGTCTCACTGACAGCTCAAAGTGCTGTTGACTAACCACACACTCATACAGCAGCTTATTCTGTGCACTTCAAGCACCTCACCTACCTCACATACATGACCCACCTAGCGTAGGCGAAGGTTTGCCTGTTTTTTTTTTTATTTTTTATTTTTTTTAACTTATTCGATTTTTTTTTTACAGAACTTGCAGACAAATTCAATATAAAGATGCAGGAATATGAGTTTAAAGAAATAATAATATAAACCTGTCGCTATTCACACAAATATGATCATAACTCGGTTGGTCCCTTTCGCTTTACATTGTTAAGGTAGCGTCAGTGCTTCGTTATCCAATCCGTTCCAGTTGTTCACAGGGGACAGCCACATGACTGAAAATCCAGTCCTCATTTTCACTGCTACTTTACACTCCGCTCGTATACACCTGCGGACACACTAGCGTACATGTGGCAATCGGCAAGAAATCATGGATATACGCAAGTTTTTCAAGAAAGTAAGTCTTCATCACTGGCTGGTAGTAACAATTAGTTAGCTCCAGCTAACAGCAGAGAATCCCATGTAAATAATGAACCAGGTGCTCCCCATTTTGTAAATAAAAACCTGGCTAGCGCACTAAGTTAAATTGTTAGCATAATGTTAATTTCTGTCACTCGTTTTAGCTCTGAAAAAATCGAGCTGAGCTCATTCAGGTATGGTTATCATCAGTGGAAATAATAATAATCACTCCATCCCCATTAACCTGTAGGAGTCAGGGCAGAGGAGCACAGAGAGGCAGAGGGGAGAGACGTCTGCTGGAGAGGAGAGTCAAAGGATGGAGTCATTTGTGATGGAGACAGTCTGATTAGAATTTTATGGGACTCAATATGGATATGAAATATGAAACATTTCAGTCACGGTACAACATATAAGACCTGTTTAACTTGAGCTTTTATTTAGGAGAGTCAAGGTTAGAAAGTGGAGAGAGCAAAGAGAGAGATATGTATATATGTCAAATTAACCTGACTCACATATTTTTGAGGGTTCTATTTTAATATTACTTGAATTCAAGTAATTTAGTAATATTTTTCAGGGCTTTAAATTGCAACCATTTTAGTCACATGCGTGCTCAAAATATAATGTTTGTAACTTCAAAATATTTGGGAGCAACAAATTACTGTGGAGCGTGAGCAGAAGTCATGATATTAGCAATTTACATTACAATTCAGTATGTTTTAATGTATCTTGAAGGGTGAGGCAGAAGGGGAGGCTGAGGGAGAAAAAGGTCAACAGGCAAGTTCAAGTCAGAGAGAGCAAGGAGAGACAGAGGAGCTGCAGCAAATGGATGGAGAGGCAGAGGAAGATCAAGTTATTACAGAGAGAGGAGAGCAAACAGGCCAAGAGAGGGAAAATGATGAAGCAGCTGCAGCAACTCATTCTACTACAGGGTTTGATTTAGGTGACAAAGACACAGGGCCCAGACAGGTGAAGCTGAAGAGCTATCTACATGATACTTTTGGTACACAGAAGCGAGCATTTAACCACAGCTGGTTTGAAAAGCACAACTGGTTAGAATATTCAGTCAGCCAGAATGCAGCTTTCTGCTTCCCATGTAGAGTGTTTGGCAAAAACATCAAACATGATAGTTTGGTCAGTAGCGGTTGCAAGAACTGGAAGAAAGCTTTAGTCATCTTTGGCAAGCATGAGATGGCACAAACACATAAGGACAGTGTTGTTACATGGAAAAGCTACCAGGGAACTAGCAAACAGGGAAACGTTGCACAGGTGATAGCAACTGCAAATGTGAGTGAGATAGTCGAAAGAAGAGAGTATCTCAGACGAATTGTTACAGTCACCTCTGTGTTAGGGAGACAGGGACTCCCTTTTCGTGGCCATGATGAAGGTGAAGACAGCCCAAACAGAGGGGATTTTCTTGCGTGCATGGAGCTTTTGAAGGAGTTTGATGCTTTTCTTCAAAAACATAATCCCCCATCAAATGCACAGTATATCTCACCAACATCCCAGAATGACCTGATTGACTGTTGTGCCCAGGAAGTTACTAGTGCCATTGTATCTGAAATGACAAAGTCTAAAGTCTACGCCATCATGGCAGATGAGGCAAGGGATAAAAAGGCAGAGCAGTTAGCTGTTTGTGTCACGTACGTGTCAGAGGGGGCAGTGAAGGAGCGTTTCCTTGCACTAGCAGAGATAAAATCATTTGATGCCCAGTCCATTGCAAATGAGATTCAGCAGCAGATCCAAAACTATGGTCTTGCAGAGCTTAAGTGTGTAGCACAAACATATGATGGTGCAGCCGTTATGAGTGGCTCCACTGGAGGTGTACAAGCACATTTTAGAAGGCTCCATCCTGAGGCTATCTATGTGCATTGTTATGCTCATCAACTCAACCTGGTTTTGTGCAATACTTGCAAGTAGGGATGGGTATCGAAAACCGGTTCTTGTTGAGAACCGGTTCCCACTGTTTCAATTCCTTGGAATTGTTTGCCATTTTTGCAAACGATTCCCTTATCGATTCCAGTCGCCCCGAATGACGTCACCATGTTGCGGAGCGTCATTTACCTGGCAGGAAACACGGCGCCTAAGGGGCTCAAACGCTCAAAAGTTTGATTATACTTTATGAGAACGGATGACAACAGGGCAACTTGCAAAGTAGATATTTCATTTAAGGGAGGAAACACTGCAAATATGCAAAAGCATTTGCTCACAAAACACGCGATGACCTTAAATGAATGTCGTGTTTTTAATTCCGCTCCGGACTCGTGAATCTCAACCCAGCAGCAGCGGTAACGTTTGCACGTCCTCTCCCGTTAATGCGGCAGGTAAATAATCAACTAACACTGCATATTATGTTAGCGCAATCTGCCTTATTACAAAACCTGCCATTACTGTGCATTTAGGTGACCATGATGAGAGAGACAGACAGAGTCTGGCTGGCTCAGATGCTGGCAGTTCTCGCTGCAGTCTACTGGTAGCGTCTCCTTTCAGGCCAGGATAGACGAATGTCACCGAGCAGTGACTAAGTTTGTGGTAAAAGGCTTGCACCCATTTGCCGCAGCAGATGCCCCCGATTTTTGGTAAGTGAATGTGTTTAATTGTAGGCAGGGACATTACTGGATATTCTTGTGTAGTTGCCACAGAACAATTTATGTTATACTTTGTTATTGCTACAGAAGAATATTTATTTTATTATTTTACATTTACAATTTTTTTTCCTGGGGACCCTGTGACACCCCATTGAAGAGCTGTAGGCTGTGGATCTCTTAAGATCTCACTGTTGGGTTTGTAAGGCCATGTTACTCCTAAATTTCTATCTTGTTCAAAGAGAAGATATAAAACAAAGTTCTAAGCTAATCGACCTTAGTGTTCTCCTTTTTTAAAAAGAATCGATAAGAGAATCGATAAAGAATCGAATCGATAAACAGAATCGAAAATGGAATCGGAATCGTGAAAATCTTATCAATACCCATCCCTACTTGCAAGGCTGTCCCAGAGGCTGTGGAGCTTTTCAGCTTGTTGGAGTGTGTGTATTCTTTCTTCAGCACCTCCCTAGTCAATCATCATAAGTTCATGGAGACTCAGGCAAAGCTTGGATTGACAAAAACTGAGCTTGTGGAACTTTCAAACACTCGCTGGGCATGTCAGTTGCGATCAATCAGTGCAGTTCTTGAGACATTGCCTGCCATTTTGGAGTGCCTATCTGCAATTGGATCCCCCATAGCTGTTGGTCTCAGAGCAAAGCTCTACAAGTTCTCAGCAGTCTATGCACTACTGATGTTTCAGTCAATTCTGTCTGTAACCGAAGGACTCCACAAATTCCTGCAGAAAGAGACTTTAGACCTGGCAGAAGCGTTTATCTGCAAACAAGCTGTGTGTGACACAATTAAGGGAAAACACTCAGATGCATTTGCTACAGAGCTGTATGAGAAAACCAAGGCCCTGTGTAACACCCACAGTATCCATGAACCAGGTGCCAAGACAAGGCACAAACAGAGGAAAATGGAGGATTTTGTCCTGGAGGCAACTGTGGGTTCACGCACTGAATTGAACAACTCAGACACATTGAAAAGAGAGTTACTTTTCCCTTGTGTGGATCGGATGGTTGGCGAGCTTGATCAAAGATTTTGCAGTGTAGATGCAGGGCTGCTAAAAGGCATCCAGGCATGCAGTCCTGAATCTGAGAACTTCTTGAGTGAACCACACTTGAATGAACTTGCAAAGCACTACAGACTTGACCTGAAAAAAGAGGAGGTTCTGGTGGCCAGAAACTTTCTTACCCGGAAAACAGAGGCTGGATGTCCACCCAAAAATATGTTGTCTGTGTACAACCTCCTTGATTCAGACATGTTTCCCTCTCTGAAGGCAACCATCCAAGTTGC